CAAGCCCTGGAACGGGAACTAGGATCCCACATGCCGCAGGGCAACTGAGCCTGCCCACCGTGACAAAAGATGCCACAGTGAAGATCCCACATGCCCCATCTAAGACCCGACACAGCCAAAGAGAAATAAGGATTCTTAAAGACAGACTTTTGATAGAAAGGACATTTGATTCTTTTCAGGGGTGAACTATTTTAGAAGAGAGAAAATGCAGAGTGAAGTTAAGTCAGAAAGAGAAAAACAAATACTGTATATTAATGCATATATGTGGAATCTAGAAAAATGATACAGATGAACCTATTTGAAAGGCAGAAATAGAGACACAGATGTGGAGAACAGCTGTATAGACAGCAAGCAGGGAACAGAGCGTGGAATGAGTGGGGAGGCTGGCACTGACACGTGTATACGCCGCTCTTCTGTTCTTTGTGTTTCTCATACTGTTGCTCTAGGGGGAAACCCAGGGCTCTTCAGAGTCACAGCAGAGGTTCCACAGACAATACACATTTTTCTAGTAAAAGAAAGACAATCTTCTTGTGGCACACTCCTGTCATTTTATGTTTCATATCAGAAATTCTTGAGCATCTCGGTTCAAGGAGCTTTTAGGTTTCTGTAATTTTTTTCACAGCATCCACAGGCCAAAAGAAATCCCTAACAGTCCTTTTCATGGGGAAGTTAGACCCAAATAATTTCATTAGAATATATGTTCTCAAAACTACGCAGCAATTTGAAAATACACATAAACTGAAAACAACAGGAATTCCCTGGTGGTCCAGCCATTAGGACTCCATGCTTTCACTGCTGAGAGCCTGAGTTTGATCCCTGGTCAAGGAACTAAGATATCACAAGCTGTGGTGAAGCCAAAAAAAATTAAGAGAAGGAACAAAAAAACTTATATTTTTAATATTTTTATTCTTAGAAACTACAAGTACCTACTAACGGGGCTGCATGCAGGAGCTGAATTGTGACAATGCCATTCTCAGATCCTGTTCCTCATGGCTCTCTTGGAATACTTGCTTTTTATCAAGCAAACATCTAAAAATCCACACTTATAAAGAATATGATATCATCTAATAAAACACAGTACAGCGAACTTCCTGGCAGTCCAGTGGTTAGGACTCCACGCTTCCACTGCAGGAGGTGCGGATTCCATCTCTGGTCAGGGAACTAGAATCCTGTAAGCCTCGCAGTGCAGCCAAAAATACCAAGCAATATGAAAATCACAGTACAATGGACTATTGAAACGGTGAATTATCTCAAGCTGTTGGTCCACGGATGTCGGACAGAGGTCCAGTATTGTTGAGTTTTTCTTGACATTTTAAATATTCCATGGCACCCTGTGAGCCCGCTGTGCATAGAAGGGATTCCTGCATGTTTGGAAACCATGGGTTTTATATATAGAAGTGCTGGGTGACATGTTATCTGGGACCCTGCAGTGGCCCATTACAGCTTGTGATTTTAACCAGAATCCTGTCAAGTCAGTTTAGTTACAAATGCCTTCCTTATCCCTGATAGTAGTTTTCCATCCATCAACTCCTCCAATCTGCTGCTTTGGTATTTATCTGCACTTGTCCATGTTGTATTTGGAGTTGAGCCCGGTTTTATACTGTGGTCTCTTTTCTCCTACTGCAATAGTTCCTGAGTAAAAGCTGGTTTTAACACTTTAATTACTATTTAGCGTGGGTTTTCTTTAACACATCACAACAATACATTCTTATTCTGAGTCTCTCCTTCTGCTAGAATCCTTGCTTATTGCTACCCTAGGTCCACTCTTTCCTTTTCTAATGGTAAGATTACAAGGGGTAATACAATCAATCCAACCCAATCTGGTTTGGGTCCAGAAAGTTGAACAGAAGAAGTGTGTCTTCTAAAGAGTGACTTTTAACACAGCAACTTGGATAAAAGCCAGTCCTTTAAGCAGAGGACATAATGTACATATAGGTCACTGCTAGCCAGAACACAGTTGTGATTGACTCCAAGAGGGGAGAGAGAGAGAGACATTGGGTGTGGAACTTTGGAACACACAGAGGCTTTGTGTGAATGGCTGGGAGCTCAGTGGGCGTCGTATTCCTCTGATTACTACTGAACGTTGGGGACAGTTCAAAATGGGTAAGGTCCAGGTCAAAGTTTCGGAGGAGACAGATTTGCTCTGAAAGTGAGGATTGAAGGGCAAATGAAGAGACATTTCAGTTTGTTTCTCTCTGATTTGATCAATTCATTATTATTTATCCTGCAATAATTTAATGGTTTTACAGTTATTTATAAAGGCCATTTTTTTTTTCATATTTCTACAGGAAAAATAGCATTGCCATTAATCTGAATGTCTGTCTCTAGTCTATCTTTTACAACACATACTTTGGGACATAATTTTGTCAGGTACACAACTGTCTAATTGTGGATGTGACTTGATGCACATTTAACCTGCTAAGAAGAATATGGAGACATCCTCCTCTCATCGGTGTCTCTCCTAAGGTAAATTTTTCTACAGATGATTCACTCACTTTGTATTAACATTCAGTGATGGCCAACACAGTATTTGCTAGATCCTCTTAACCCCTTTAATGTCTGACTCTATGTGCTGATATAAAATAGTATTATGTTTCATTGCTAATCAGTATGAATTTATTTTTAGAGTGATGAAAATGTTACATAATTAGATAGTGACAGTGCTTTCACATTCCTGTGATTATATTCAGTTCCGTTCAGTCGCTCAGTCATGTCTGACTCTTTACAACCCCATGGACCACAGCACACCAGGCTTCCCTGTCCATCACCAACTCCGAAAGCTTGCTCAAACTCATGTCCATCAAGTCGGTGATGCCATCCAACCATCTCATCCTCTGTCATCCCCTTCTCCACCACCTTCAATCTTTCCCAGCATCAGAGTCTTTTCCAGTGAGTCAGTTCTTCGCATCAGGTGGCCAAAGTACTGAAGTTTCAGCTTCAGCATCAGTCCTTCCAATGAATATTCAGGACTGATTTCCTTTAGGATGGACTGGTTCGATCTCCTTGCAGTCCAAGGGACTCTCAAGAGTCTCTCCAATACCANTTAAAAAAAAAAACTCACAGGGGCAGTAGAGAACTTTTTAAAAGTTCTTTTTAAAAGGTTTTAACCCATTAAACAAAAGATGGGTGATTATAACACAATTTGGGAAAGTAAAAATGAGTGGAGGGCAGTAACTGGCTTGGCTGTCTGGAGAAGTTTCATTTAAGAGCTGGCAGGGGCCATGCCAGAAAAGTCATGTCAAAAATATGTGTCAAAACACCACTCGTCTCCAGGCTTGGGGTAGCAGGCAGAGCAGAAATTGCGGCAAGGTGTGGGGAAGGTGCACATTCTGAACAGATTTCCAGGTTTACTGCACTGACTTGCCCTGGTTCCAGGAAGTTTATTATGAAGAAATTTCTAGACTCAGAAGCTGTGGAGAGCAGGGTGACGGGCAGGGCTTAGAAAAGGGAACATCTGCATACTCATATGCGCCCCTTGCCCGCCCTGATCACAGAATATCAGTGGTAAGATACTCCAACTCCCCCACCTTCCCTACCCTGCCAGGCTGGAAGACAGACTGCTCTTTGCTGAGGAGACTGAATGACCAAATGGGAAAACCTTCCAGCTACTTGGATTCTGAGGTCTGCCCATGCGAAGGCCAGCATGTCTGCCCATTCCACTGCTTGTCAACAAGCCCTGGGCTGGTACTTCAGAGTCCTGTGACCACCCCAGTGCTCAGAGCGCATGCTCTTACCCACCCCACTCTGCCCAGCCCTCAAACACACCCACTGCGGCACTGGCAGAGCCCCGGCCTCAGAGCAGGAGCCAGTCAGCGTACATTTATAACTCCTTACTTACACATGTTTAACTAGCCATGAAGTTAGTGTACAAGGAGATTTCTATTGGATGTTTGCAGTCCAATAGGTTGCCTTTTCAAGGTTCCCTGGGTGATTCTTTTTTGCATACAACAGACAAGAGTCTAAAAGGAAACTTGACAGCAATGTTGGCCTTTATACCTCACCATCACGCGTCATGCAGGGAGCTCTGGGAATTTAAGAGGCAAGGCTGCTATTGGTTGGATTAGTTTCAGAAGTGATCTTTCCTCTTTCAGATCAGTTGTGTGTAGTTCTAAGTACATAAAACGAACTTTTGCAGAAGCACAGGCTTATAGGAACCATGAAATTTAACAGAGGCACAGAGCTATAGGACTCAATGGTATGACACAAGAGTTACAGGACAATGATAAGAAAATGCAAATGTCTCAGACTGAAGTCAATATTACCATGTTAGTTGCATGAGATTCATCAGTTACAGAAATCAGGTATCAAAAGAGATGATCTTTTTCAAAAGTTTGCATAAATTTGAATGCAACGGGTAATTGTCACAGAATCTTCCAAATCCAAGCCCAGCTGTGACTAGACCAAGGTGCTCTTGTTAAGTTTAGTGTATGAGGGCATGTGAGTGTAAATGTTATCTGTGTGGGTAGGTGTGTTAGGGAGGGCAACCTGTATGTGTATTTAATCTGCATACAGTATGGAAACAGAAGTCTAAAAATAGAGATGTATCAGTGTGACTCCAACTCATTTCGTGGTTTGTGGGTTTGGCTTGTGGTGTGTGGTGTGGTGTATAGCGCGGTGGGGTGACGTGCTTGCTAAGGTGGGGTGGCGCAGTGGAAGGGTGTGTGGTGTGGTTGGACCTGGTATGTGGTTTGATGGGGTACAGCTGGTGTGGAGTGAGCCTTAGTGAGGAGTTTAGCATGGGGTTTTGATGACATGGGAGGTAGAAGACCAGAATTAGTACGTGTGTGGGGATAGCGTGTAATACGGTGTGTGTGTGAGGGAGTGATACGGTTGTGGCTTAGCTTAGCTTTTGTTTAGATTTTCTTTTGCCCTTTGTTTTGGTCTTTGTTTTTGTCTTTGTTAGGCCTTTGTTTTGCCTTTGTTTCATTCTTTGTTTAAACTTTCTTTGGCTTTTGTTTGGTCTTTCTTTAGCCTTTTGTTTAAACTTTGTGTGGCCTTTTTGTAGTCTTTGTGTAGCTTTTGTTTTTAAGTGGATCTTGGCTGAGAACCCATCAAAAACACCTTGTGTAATGAAAAACCCGGATATATAATCTGCCCCTATATATTCTGCATTCATTGAGGTGGCCCCAGCCCCACCCCGGGACCCGGTGCAGACGTGGAACCTGTTTCAAACAGCTGCCGCTTGAAGGTAAGGGGATTCCACTGGTTTTCATCACGTTTCATGTTGCGCTTCACTTTCTGGTGGCAAGCGCACATTTTTGTGCAGGTCAATTTCATTGTCTCTGAAGGGAGACAAGGTGATGGCAGTCAAGGTCGGGAGGAGACAGCACAGAGGACCCCAAGGGGATTCCGCCGTGGGCAGTGGGCCTTCCCGGAAGGCTCTGGTTAGTGCTTGCAATTGTCTGAGGCTCGGGAGAGTCTCCAAATCTTAACCCAAGTTCTCCTGGGTGTGAAGTCCCATGTTACTGGGGCTAGATCAATAGCAGTCATTGGCTTCTTTTTTTCCCAGTTCTTTTATTGCTTGTCATAATTTGAAAATGAGTTTCTCTTCTTATTTAGGATCAGCCTCTGTCCTCATACAGCTGGGTTTACGTGTGGGGAATACTTGTGGAACAACAAAGCCCACATCCTGTTAGAATTTAGCTCCCTGTAGACTAGCAACTTTCAATGAAAAGATGCTAATGCTTTGTCTCATACAGAATCTCCTAAAAATAACCATTTTCAGTGTTGTGGTTGATAGAAAAAGGAATGAAAAGATTAAGTGTATCAGGGGAATAAAACGATTGAACTTGGCTAGCACACTAGGAGGAAAATGGGGGAAAGAATTTTGAATGCTCTATGAGTAAAACAGGGAGGCAGAGAACAGACGGTCACCAGATAGGCAGCTATGCCATTCTGTGTTCATTTAGAAAAACAGGAGAATGCCTTGGTGTGTGGATTTTAAAAACTGTTTCAGATTTACAAAAAAAAAACCTGCCAACAGTAGGAAAATTTCAGATGTACCTCCATCTTGAATGTTGACATCATATTTGCTTTACCACTCTCTCTCTGTATATGCACTTATATATTTTTTCTAAGCCTTTTGAGATTAAATTACAGATGTGATCCAAATCAGAAAATGACACTGAGGAAATGCTCTCATCTAATCAACAGACATCTAGATTTCACCAACCATCCTTGGAGTCGATCGAGGATCAGCCATCACCTTTAGTTATCACATCTCTTTAATCTCCCTTAATCTGGAAGGGTCCTCAGACAGTTATTCTCTCATCATCTCTAGAGTTCTGAAGGGCATTGGCCTCTTATTTTGTTAAATGTCCTCAATTTGGATTTGGTCTGATGTCTCCTCATGATTAGGTCATAATTAGGCAGTTTTGTAGGGATAGGCTTGTATTTTAGGTCATACATATCCACATTCATACTTGAATTGTACACACTTTTAATTCAAGGTCCTATTCATCTAGTGGTACCCAGGATTTTAAATGAGTACCTAAAATCTTAAAAGAAAATACAAAAAATTTAAAATCCAGAGCTTTTCTATGCAATTCTCAAGTATTCAACTGAAGTCAGTGCTATCCTTGAATTATAAATGGTAATTACAGTGATACGTACAAGAACTTGATAGGCATGTAGTGAAGTTTTATCGAGTTTCTTTGTGTGTGTTGGATTCATGCCTACTGCTCTGAGTATTCATTTCATCAATGTGACCCTTCTTTTCTAAGCAAAATCATCTGCTGAAAACAGAGTTCAATAAAGTATTGTCCTGAGGAGCAAGTCCAGGTTCACTGGCCTTTAGCATGTTGACGTGGTGCCTGGCAGAGAAAGAACTTTCCTCTTGTTTGTAAGTGGGAAAACTTTCTTTCGGAAGTATTTGGCAGCTACCATCCCAGAATTTCCCAACAAACATCCTTTGTTTGGGGAGTATTACTAAACTGGATTCTTTAGATATGCAGATAAAAATCATCCTTTTTCCTTCCTCCCAGAGAAAACTTTGAAGTCATCATAAATCTGAGTACGGGGCAATTGATTAACTTGATTACAATCCCTTTGGTCAAGTGAATATATTACGGCTTTAACAGAACTGTTGCCTGGATTAGGTAGATACTTTCAAGTTTGGGGTTCTGCACGTGGTTCTATTTAATGTTGAGGAACTAAGCTTTGGACAAAATGTAGCGTTACCTATTCACTGATGATGACTGCTTTATCTGGGCCACCAAAGTCACCCTGGAGTTTGAGGAAGTATTTTGACTTAAAGGATTACGTGTTTCCATGATGAACATTTTCCTGTATCTTCCAATCCTGTAAGTTTATTGTGTGCTGAACACAGTAGTAGCAGTGATAGTAGGTGGCAGAGGTTCTAGATCATGCTAAATTACTGGAGGATCACCTTGGTCCTGTCCAGGTTTGATTTTAGGCCTTGTTAGGGCTTATTTATCTTTTTCCTTTCTCCTAGGCATGCCCCCTGCCCTAGGGTGAGATCTTTCTGGGGCTTCAACTAAAAGTCTCGGGTGTTCACCAGGGTCTCACAATTGCCCCAGTCATGACGTGTAAGCCCTGATGTTTCTACTTAGTTATCAACCTCTTTGTAACTTGTTTTTTTTCCCTTGGCTTCCCACTTGCAATTGGTTTCACCCCACAACTGTACAACTTTGGAACTGGCCAAGGATCTGAGAAAAGTTATATGTATCTTCTTAGCAGGTCCCTACTATCTGTCACTTGCATCCAAACCCCTTCTGGATCCCTGCAGTCTTAGCAACCCCTGACTCTGATCTCCGTTTCTTCTCCACGCGTAGGCTCTTTTCCCCTGTAGGACAGTTTGAAAACTATCTTTAGGCAGAAAACCAGGGGAAATCTTCTCTTGCTTCCTTTCTGTCAAGAATCAAAGCCCTGCAATATTTGCTCTCCAATGCAAACAATTTTTTTTGCATATTTTGTTCAGCTTTTGTGGTTGTTTTCAGTGGGAGTGTAAGTTCAATACTTGTTAGTAGATCATGATTAATTTTTTAAGTAAGAAAGCTTGTAGAGTCATATGCTTTCAATAATTCTGTCAAGTAGTTCGGAGAAGAGGAACGTTCTAGTGATCTTCATTTGATTTGACAGAAAAATCTTACAAAGATTTATACAGTTAGACAGAAGTTGCCAATTACATCATTATTATTAGAAAAAGTATCAACTAAGACAACCAGTTAGAATTACAGATTTTTTTCCTGGAGGTTATTTTTGTGTCTAGAATCTTCACAATTTTATAAGACCCCTTTGAACACTTCCAAGATCTGAGATGTATTAAGGACAAATGACATGAATAGTCACATAAATCTCTGTAGTGCATGAGAAAACTACATTGATATTTTCTACAAGTTCTCAATTTGCTACCTTGTCAAAGGATACTTCACTGAGTTTACAATGCAAAAACCACATCTCTTTCCAGAGCTGTATGGGAGGAGGACATTCCTTCAAATCTTTTCTTGAGGTGCTTTACTTAATTATGAAGATTAGCATTTTTAGAGTGGGACTCTGGAATTTTATTAGTATTATAAACAAGTTTGTAGAGCTCAGATGTATTAAGAGAAATGACTATTTTTTACCTAGTGATGGTGAATTAACTGGATATATAGCGTTTTCCCTCTATGATGATAAGGTGGACTTTAAAAAGTTTGCATGTAATTTTGTCATTATATCCCCTCCTAGCCCATCCTCTATCTGACAGACAGTACCTAGATGAAATATCATGATCCTTCCTGGGGCTGTGTGTGTGAAGCTCTGTGATTAAGACACTTGAGTTAACTACAACTTCAGTCAGCAAAACCCTAAATTAACCAGAATACATTCTACTGCTTCATTTTTTAGGGAAAAAAGAAGCAAATGATACCAAGAGAAGCCCATAACAGATCTATTCACCAGATGTGCACGGATGAAAACACAGGTACAAACAAATCTCTTACACTCTTTTGGATCAGCAACTAAATTACGGTATAATGATTACTAGTATTCAGAATGTCAAAGTGGAATGTAGAATCAGCGAAAGATGGGGCAATCAAACTTTCAATAAGAGTTACACGCTTTAGAAAATGATTCCAGGTGTCTTACAATATTCTAGGTTTGGGGAATAGAAACATGAAAAAACACTTCCCTGTATCAGTCAGAGGCACTGTGATCCAAGCCACCATTTGTTCACCTCTGACAAACCCATGCGCCACAGTGCATAGCGAAGTGGAAAAACAGACTTCATCCCCTACAGCCTTGGACTCTCCTCAGGAGATTCTGTCCATCTCATTGTCTTAACTGAATCCAGCCAGTCTTCTGAGAACAATGCCTCATCTGTCAGCCTGTCGAGTGAGGACCATTTTACACTCCAAGAAGCTCCAGATTTGAGAGCAAGGCAGCATCCTCCCCACCTCCCCACCGCCACATCCACTGCTTCTTCACTGTCTCCTCATTGCTCCATAACCTGAAGCTGTGCCGCATTCCCCGTGTCAGTCTTCATCTGACTTCCCAGTCACTCCTCGTCATTCCCTGATAGTTTTGTTACCAGATTCCGTACTCCCCCACTCCCTGTCCATTTCAGTTGCACCCACTTAGATGACGTTAGTGTCTGTGTGAATCAACTCTTCACCACTCCAGTGAATTATCCACTCTGCCGCATCCATCCACTGCCATGCTGGAACTTAGCAACACTGGAAACAACCCTCTCTGAATCAAATCGTGCAAACATCTAGCATCTGATTCACAACCTTCCTTTCTTTCAACTTTGTTAAGGGCCCCACTACAATTATTCTTTCATCAGGTGCTTCGGATTGACTTGCTCCTTCATCTCTCCCTCCATTTATGAATCCAGTTACTTACCCCTTCATCAATTCATTCACCCATCCATTCAGCAATCACTCATTTCTACCTTTCTTTCTATTATCAATAGATTCTAGGGTTTATCACTTCAATCGTTCTTCTGCAAATTCTCCAGCAAACCCCAACCCTGGAGGAACCCATGTATCTTCTCTGTGTTTCCACCTGGGCTGCTGAGAACATTTGGAGAAAAACACAGTGAGGCTTGGTACCTCAATGGTCAGGGACCTCGACTGGGCTGTCAATGTAACTTGTTTCAACCACTCTGTGGAGACAGCTCCTGTTAAATTCACCAAGTATCTCCCTATCACTTCGGCTAATGTACTCTTCTCAGTCTTCTGTCTCACCACATCTCAGAAGCACTCTGCATACAGCTCTGAACACCTGGGCTGCTGAGAACATTTGGAGAAAAACACAGTGAGGCTTGGTACCTCAATGGTCAGGGACCGTGACTGGGCTGTCAATGTAACTTGTTTCAACCACTCTGTGGAGACAGCTCCTGTTAAATTCACCAAGTATCTCCCTATCACTTCGGCTAATGTACTCTTCTCAGTCTTCTGTCTCACCACATCTCAGAAGCACTCTGCATACAGCTCTGACCACTTCCTCAGTTTCAACACTCCTTCCCCTGGCTCCCACGATACCACATGCTCTGGGTTCCCGCCTCCCTCTCTCTCTCCTCTTCTTCCTTTGTCAATCACTCTGCCCCTCCCTGCAGTGTGGGAGTGCCCCAGCACACGGCCACGCTCTCCTCTCAGCCCGCCATCTGCCACCTCGGCAAGTCTATTCATCCCATGGCTTAGTCACCACCTGCGCTCCAGCAACTTTCCAACTCCATCTCCTGCCGAGATTTCTATGAACTCCCCACTTGACATCTCCATCTAGATGCCCCTCAAACACTTCAAGGTGAATGCACCTAGAACTGAACTCATGATTCAGCCTCTCCTCTCAAAACTTCTCCTCCAGTAGAAGCTTCTATCACTGACCCAGCCGCTCAAACTGTATCCCTTGGAGTTACGCTCCATAGCTCTTGCTTCTCTTGGAAGAGGTGAATGAATTCAATAGAATATGGAAAATACAAATTGCAAAATGGAATAAAGATAAGTGGCATTTCATCCAACTGAGGAAAGTCCACAAGTATTCACTGCTATTGGTCAGATGGTGACCTTGGACACAAAATATGGGAAAAGGTGTGGTTGACAATTGGCTTATCTCTGGCCTGGTCTCTTGCACTCCCTGAGACTAATGCCCTTTGAAAACCCAAGGCTGAACCCAAAGCATGTTAAAGGGTCTCAGTGGAGCAATAAATCTGTCAGTCAGTGAATTTAGGTTCTCTTCTGCAGCACTTCCACCACCCCACTATGACCATAGGCCAAATCAACATTTAGGGTTTTAAATAAGACAATGCAAATCTGGAAGATTGGTTTCCTTCTCCATCATTTTGGAAGGAATTACAAGAGAGAGGATTTGTGTTACCTATGTTTGTGTGCATCTAGAACCCCATCATTTTCACAGAGAAAGAGAAACATATTATCTTTATTTGTTATATCACAAACACTGGATTAAGAAAGACAGTTTTTCACACCTTGAAAAAATGAAATAATAATAAAATAACCATTTTATGTTAAGGTCTTAATTCTTAAAATAGCCTTGCTGAGAATCTGACAGAAGCCAGTTGAGTCCTACACGACATCCCAGGTGCCACTTGTAATTCGATCCCAGTTAATACTCATTAATTGAGCAGAAGAAGCAGCGGCAGAATCCTGAGGATTCAGACAGGGAGGATACCCCTCCCTCACAGAGTCCAAGCGGAGATCCAGACACACAGCCACACTATCATAACACAGTATGACGCACTCACCAACAGAAGTAGGTACACATTCCCTCCCAGAGGAGAGAGGATCCTTTGCTAGGCTGAGACCTTAGCTGGGTTGTTTGGTTCTTTTCAGCCTTCCCTTACGGTACTTGTTGCTGTTATTTAGCCTTAGATGGAGTTTACCACCCACTTTGGGCTGCATTCCCAAGCAACCCGACTTGGGGAAGACCCATACCGGCCTCACACAGTCCACGGGCTGCGCCTGGATCAGAAGGCACTGCCGCGTTGGAAATGCCCCCCATGGCGCCAGGTTGCCGGCCGGGGGGTGGTCCCCTGCCGACCCCACCCCACCCCAGCCCCGCCAGCCCACCCCGACCAACCAACCGCGCAGGTTGTTTAGAGTGAATAGGAGTTTACTTCACAGCCACCATGGGGAAAAGGCATTCCAGGGAAAGGAAACAGTTTGTTCAAAGGCATACCTTTTGATCATAGGATGATGTTTCTGACCTACAGAAGTGTGTGGGGAGGGGAGAGAAGGGGGAAAGCTGGACAGGGGCCAGATGATGAAGAGTCTTATGTGCCACATTAACTAAGAAGCAAGGACTTTGCTCTGTAACTGGGAAGAGTCTCTGTGGTTTTGAGTAAGGGAATGGATAAATGAGGAGACAGGCTTATGCTTTTGGTTCCTCCTCCTGGATTTGCTTGCCCTTGGCTATAGAAAAGTATGAGATTATTCATTCACATTCAAGTCTAGTGTAAATTCCCATGATAAACTAAAACAATGTACTCTGTAATTTTAGATGTTAAAAAAATGAACACTGTGTTACTAAAACTACTTGCAGAAAATGACTGTATTTCTTACATGTCTATTTAGCTCTACTATAATAAGGAAGGTTTTGACTCCTAAAACATTTGCTAAACATACAATCTTTTAAAAACCTTTTTATTTTATATTGGAACATAGCCCGTTAACAGTGCTGCGATAGTTTCAGTGGCACAGAAGAGCCACCCAGCCATACATATACATGTAGCCATTCTCCCTCAAACTGCTAAATATATTATCTTTGTGCTAAGGATACCAACCTTGGGTTGGTGTCCCAGCTGGGATTAGGTACAGTTTGTTCAATCAGAAAGAGCTTTTGCATGAATCTGTGAGATAGTGGTCTGTGGGCAGTGTGGTCCTGGGGCCACTTTAATTTGTCTTTGTCACTTGGAAACAAAGTAAAGCAGTGAGGGCTTTGTCTTCAAAAATGAGTTGCCAACTTCAGGACATCAGCATCCTCTTATTACTGTTTTGTTTTCAAGCCTCAGCAGCTCCTCAAATCAGGGTTGGATTTTGGCAGGATGTTGCTCTTTGTGGAAAAGCACTCTGATTCAAAATAAATATCTGTATGAAGTTTCCATTACCAGGGCACTGGTTTCCCAACAAGAATCTACTGTTCAACATTCAGTGTACTAATTAGTAAACATTTTGGTTGCTAAGGCGACAGATGAATAAACAAGGACAAATGGATAAAGCCATCCTTAGAGACAGCCTTTAGTAGTTACAAGCAAAGTTCTTTTCCTTCATTGTGTTTATGCTGCTGTGGACAAACACTGTCTTTTACTATGTAAAGCTGCTCTCAGAGGCAAGCATTAGCCCCTGACCTGAGAATTAGCAAGGTTTAAGAAACATTCAAGATCTCTAAGGGAGGTGGTGAATGTGGGATGAATTTGCTGCTCAGAGGTAATGGTTTTCACAGCAGAGGATTTGGGGCTGGGCAGTCTTCAGAAGGCTGTGGTAAGGCTAGGTGAAAGAAGCCCAGGCCTGCAGTGGAACTTTATTCCGGAAACAGCTCCTGGACAAAGCACCCAGGTGCATTCCTCTCCTGAAGGAAGCCTGGGCTCTGGCAGCCTGGGACAGTGCCTTGACCACAGAAGGTGCCAGCCTCTGTGCCCCATGCTCTGACTGATCGCCTTTCCCCCTTCCTTCCACAGCGTCATCCTCCAATCCCATTTTTAGGCCAATCACAATGGGTGTGAATTGACATTCCCTTGCTGTTACTATCTCTTTCCTAGAGTAATACAGAGTTAAACATGTTTGTATATGATTACTGGCTTTAAAGAGTCTTCTCTATTAGTTGCCCGTTTAAAAAAAAATGTAGTTTGTTTTTTCTAAAATATTCTGATTATTAAAACTTTACACTTTTATGTGTTTGTATATTTTCTTCTCTAGTGGCATAGGATTTTAAACTTGTAACTGCATGGTATGTTTTATTCTATAAAAA